AGAGTGTGGACGTACTTTGCACAATTTCAAGCACGAGTCCACGCGGTACGCTTGATGGGCGGCCAAGTACGGAAACACTTGAAGGGGGTTGAATTCACACAATAGTCGGATGTATCGTTCTTGGACGGCGGCGTCGTCGGCCATCTACACATCAAATATAAGGAAAAACAATATATGGGAAACTAACTATTCACGATCCTTTCTACTTGCTACAAGCAATACTATAAAACTCACATACAGCAGCCATATTGATTAAACTAACTGTACTACAACTACTACCCCCACCACACACAAAAGACGACACACATACCCGCAACCCGTTCTTGTCGGTCAGGTCCTTGATCATGTCGACGTCGTCGCCCGCGGTTCCTTCGGTGCCGGTGCCCAGGATCTGACTCAAGTAATTGTACTCCCACTTGGCGCCGAGGTTGCCTCCGACTTGGACAAACTTTTGAATGATTCGGTTGTTTAACGAGGCAAAGTTCTCGAGAATGAGCACCACAAATGCCGTCGCGTCCACATCCAGGAGCCCCCCCGCGTGGTTGATTAGCCCCGCCTCGATGGTGTCCAATGGATTGTGGGCGCTGCTAATATGGCTGGACGTCGTGGCGGTGATACCGGATGGGTCGCCGTCGACCCCCCCCGACACTTTGTCCTAATCGAAATCGTCGACTCGATTTTGTACAGTATATAACACGTACCTTTTCGTTGCGAATGTATGAAAATGCACCCATCTTGTACTCGCGGTCCGTGTCGGCCAAGTACGCGGTGATTGTTTCAGTAAACTCGTTGCGATCTTTGTGCAGCAGCACCGCCGCGCCTGCAAGACGTAGCAATTCATTCTTGTGAGGACTTGTCCATTGTATATATATATATATACGGTGTGTATAAAACCACTCCCATAGTGTGTATATATAATATATACACACACGGTATATATATATATAACCACTCCCAAAGTATATATATATATAACCACTCCCAAAGTATATATATATATATATATATACCGTGTGTGTATATATTATATATACATATATACACTTTGGGAGTGGTTATATATACACCGTGTATATATATACATATACTATGGGAGTGGTTGCCAGGCAAACAAACATTCCAATACAAAAAATATATTTCAACCGACATATCGACGTGGATTCCTTAAATCAGTACACACACAAAAAATGTCCAAGTTTGGTTACCCAATATATATATATATATATATATATATATCATATACGTACGATGCATGCCCTCACGGAGCACAGACTTGAGCAGAGTGGGTTGATCGTACGAGTCTTTCGACAGCTTTTGCAGCAGCCGCACCAGCATGGCTTGGCGGCCGGCCTTGTCAAAGCCATCCTCTTCAAACGACGACACCCCCACCGGCCCAAGTGCCTGCGGCCCCGTGGCCAGAAACGTCAGCAGCGAATTCATCATGTACTGGGTGCTCGAAGCGCTGCGGGCCGTCGCGTACGCTTGGGCGTCGATGGCGCCTCCTGCAATCATGTAGAATTAAGTAGTCATAGTTAGGGATACCGAATCGTAGTATTGAGTGATTAGTGATACAAGATATGAAATAGGGATGGATGGTCTACGGGACACACAACAACGACACTCAAGCACGGAAACAACACAAACCAACAATGCAAGGTTCCTGCAACCATGTAGTAGTAGTACTAGTAGTAGATAGGGATGCCATATCGTAGTACTAGTACTAGTAGTAGGTACCCTCCAAGGTTCCTCCTGCAACCATGTAGTAGTACTAGTAGTAGGTACGTTTATTTATAGCCAAGACGATATACATACGCATTGTAATAAAAAAGGAGAACCAAAATTAGGCCGCAACAACAATTACAGTTTTATATATTGTGCTTTCGAGTGAAATTTCATTGTGTTGTGGTTTCTCGTTGGAATTTAAATCGATTTGATTGGCTACCTCAGATGAGCTCAAACTTATTAGCCAATCAAAACCTTCTCAATGAAATTCAACAACCAATCAGATCGATTGTGGATCGGTTTGGTCGGCGCGATTCGATTGCCCACCCCCTCCCCAAATTTGTATATCAAATCGACAATAGAAAAGTGTTTTTTTTTTAACTGGGCCAAATAAAGTTGAATGTTCGACACAAGCAAATGGACGACACCCACGAGCATTATAATGTATGTACGACACCACGAATTAGTGTGAAGGTCCAAAAATAGTGTGATCACGGTAAAATCACATCAAGACTATCAAAACGTAAAACTTATAGTTGGATACAAAGTACGAACCACTGAACAACCGCGCTTCAAACATGTAAAAGTGGCCTTGGTCGGCACTCGAAAAGAACCGAGTGGTGGGAGACGGACTGGGACCAGCAGAGGCGTTGGGGTCGCCCACGAGCACTTCGGCCAGACTTAGCACCATTTGCAGCCGCGGAGGGCACTGCAACGGCGTCGTCGCATACCTATTCATCGTATATATATATAAATATTATCCATCAGTCCCGATATATATATATATATAGAAATGTATCCTCTTTGCCAATGAATGGAAATGGTGTATCATGTCATAGCTAGCGTTCCCATGTGGAGCTCAAACTGAACCAATGAGATTTCCATGCAAACCAGTATTGGATAGCAGGTATTCTGAATCACATATATCATGCAAAATTACACATATCGATTCGTACCAACGTCGCCTGAATCACCAAAACACGTTTGGAAATAACGGTAAATATAGATCAACAATCGATTGATGGCGTTGACGACTCCGCACACAATTATGTTGGCTAAAAGGGCTAGGTATATATATATATACAATCCATCAAAACGCTCATACAAACAAGCCACGACTGCGTGGAGGTACAGTAGGTAGGTCATACAATCATGGACACATAC